TCATCTGTGATCAGATGGGAGGTCTTAGGAGGGCTTGAAACTATTGCTGTATTTCGTTGTTTTTTGTTTTTTTAAGGCCACATTGTTTCCCAAGTATGCTGATTTGATGAAAAGAAGAGAGTAGCGTAACATCTAACCCTAACTCAAAATTCAAAGGAAAAGTCTTTTATTTCAATTTACATATATAAAAATAAATAAGTATTTTATCCAATCAACAGTTGCACCAGAGAAGAAAATTTACATTAATTGATCAGTTATTTTGCCAAACATTGTGCTTGGTGTACTCATTGCCATATTTAGTTCCTAAAATAATGTGAGATAAATATTGTTACCTCTACTTTACAGTTGAGAAATGCAGATTTAGAGAGAGTAAATAATATATCCCAAGTCACAAAAATACTGAAGAACAGAGATCCAAATCCAGGTCAGTCTACTCCAATGCCCATCCATCTTCAGTCACTACAGTTCCCCTTGGGTTCTTTATTATAACCTACTTGATATCATGTCCTCAACCATGTTTATCATTCCAATCTAATTAAGGCCACATTAGAACATAGCTTTGGGCTCATATCTAGATTGAGCCACAATCCCTGAACCGTAACAACAGGGTCAAGACAAAAGACAGTCTTGGTCTTGACCCAAACTTTGTAGCTATTAAAAGATTCCACCATCCTTCAGAACCACGTTTAATTACTTCTTTTCCAAATAGAAGGAAACTAAGATAAAGAACAGTAACAATGTTTCATTCATACTTGAAGTTAACATGAAATTAGGCCTCCTTTTTTCTAACTATACGATCTAAACAAGCTATACTCAAACATTGACCCCTGGTGGGCATAGGGAATTTAGAAAGCTAGTCCCAAGAAAGAAATCTGCACAAAATAAAATTAACTTTCCACCTGCCCTTGGGAGGAGGCCCTTGGCCCTAATAAACATTATAAAGAGATGTTCGTTTTAACACCTAACTTACCCTAAGGTCTCTTGCCCAACAATTTGCATTAATAGAGACATCAAGAGAAATGTTTGTCACTGCTATTCTTACATGAGGCTTTTTTTGGCTTTTATGAAAATAGAAGCACGAATTACATGCTCAAACATGTTCACATTCTTGGCAAGCAACAGAAAAATCTTGGGGGTCAAATTGGTGATAGAGTATCTACCTACCAAATAGATATTTTATACCTTCACTTTATAAATTACCAAAGAATGTGCAATGGATACCAGAAAGTCAGAACAAATTTTACATGGTTGCTCTATAACTACACCATGGCAACATGGAAACCAGAAACAAATATATCTCCATCTTTCAAAGTAATGTAAGCAGCCCATTCTGTCTACAAAACAATATAAAGGGAAAGAAGAGAATACCAAATTTATTTAGATCGAAATTTAAGCTTTCTCATCTGGAAATGGGGAGACATAATAGTGAACTTACATAATTATTGCAAGCATCGAATGAGGTCTATGTAGGAAAACACCCCTTGTCTAGTCTGAAGGTTTGCAGAGAGCAGACCTGGCAATAATAACCTGGCATCATTTATTTTTCCCTCAGCAAGTTAAAACGAGGTTTCTGCAGAGGTAATCAAGAGTCAGTTCATGCTCAAACAAATGCTGCCACCCATGAGGCATTTCATACGCCTCTGCAAGCCAACTATGTTCTTCCATAGTGGGTTATATTAGTAAGCCATTACAGTGAGAAGGAAGCTCATGGGACTGACTGTGAAGATGCTCTGCTCCATGTAATGGATTATTCCTTTCACACCTAAAGCATTTTCGTTGCTCTTAATACAGGCTCCCCACTGCTGAATGGCTTCAGTGTGTGTGCTGTATGGTAAGCATCGAAATAAGAATCTGCTTTTTTCGATATCATTTTCTAGGCTAGCTTTCCCCTCCCAGACCTTACGGTCTTGCTGTTTTTAGTCACTCATGCCCTGGCATGTAGAATAAAGGTTATAGGCGACAGCTGTGGTCAGAACTAAGACTAACCCAATGTCTTGACACCTGGTGAATGCTAATCACAAGCTTAACCATATCCTTCATCTGGTAGACAAAGATTTCCTTCAGTGTGCTTAGTTATAGTGCAGGTAATGTTCTCTCTGTTCATAAGGAGGCACAGCGATATTTGAAAGAGGGATAATCAAAACCCCTGAGCCAGAAACTACCCTCTCAACTGTCTGCCTTATTAAAGATCAATGAAGATGAAATAGTCTCACTGGAGTAAAATAATTAAATAGATTTAATTTCCAATATATGTCAAACAAAATTAAAGCTATAAAATTCAAATGGCCCTAGCGATGCTTCAGCAGAAAATTGTCTGTATAACTGTCAGGGGTACTGTGAATCCTGTGAAGATGATCCACAAGCCAGGGAAAACCACTAAAGTTATCAAAGGAAAAAAATGCTTTGTCCTATATGAAAAAAAGAGAATTCGTGATCCATAATTTGATGGCGGGGCAAGAACATGAACATGCTTTCTGTTTTATTTTCAAAACATGTTTGCCCCTCCTTGTTTTCATCTGATTTTCACAATAATAAAATACCTTTGAGGCAACAACACAGTAAAATGGGGAAACACGGTGACTAGGGAGGACAACAGTTAATATTTTACACCCCCAGCAGCGTACAGACAGCCCCTCTGTGAGGACAGAACCTAAGCAAGGAACACTGTGTACAGAGCAAGCCTTCTGGGAGGGACAGCAGAGGCAGAGCTGTGTGGTTCTCTACTCTGAAAAGAAGACATACTGGTGGAGAAGAGAAAGAGCACGGTGAGATGTCAGGAACTGGGAGACTTGGGTCAAAGGCCCAGCACGGGGGATAAAGGAAGGAGATAGAAGATGATAGACAGCTGTGGAATCGCTCTAACCTTCCCGCCCTGTACAACCTTCAGCAACTGCTACATAACCCAGAGGGCTCTGTTGAGCAGCCTTGCTAGTGGAGGGCTGTGGCAAGCCTCAGGACTGCTGCACAGGTGAAAATAAGGGCTCCTCGGAGAGTCCAGGTCACACCCGAGTTGCTTTCTGTTGTTTAGAGGCCACCTGGAAATGGGACATTAGCTCTTCCAACCTGACCCAGTTGCCTCCCGGCTTTGAACTCAGTACACCTGGCCTGAGATAAGAACTGATGTGAACTAAAAGGAGCGCTGTCTTGGGTTGGACACGGAGAGCTCATTCTTGGTTCTTCCTTGAAAGCTATTCAGGAACAGGGGTACAAAATTCAATGACTAGGACACTAAGCCAACCCAAATTAGGAAAAGCTACTGGTTATAAAATGGTTTGAGCCTTCCTAATATGCAACTCCAAAATGCCCCAGAATCCAAACCTTTGCGGGTGTGGCTATGATACCACAAGTAGAAGATTCCACTTCTGACCATGATGGGGTTGTAGTCAAAACATAGGCACACTGAAAATATTGTACGAAATTCCTTTAAAAGCAAGGCATGATAGTGCACACCTATAAACCCTGCACGCTGGGTCAGGCAGACAGATTGCAAGTTCAAGCTCAGCCTGTGCAATTTAGGGGCTTAGTGAGATTGTGTCTCAAAATAGAAAAATATAAAATATCTGGAAATATAGCTCAGTACAAAGGCCCTATGTTCCATTCCTAATATTGAAAACAAGAAAAATAAATACCTTTATGCTATGTGCATAAGATGCATATGAAACTTAAATGAATTTCACCAAGATATCTCATTATATATGCTAATGTTCCAAAATCCATAAAAATCATAAACATTTCTTGTCCTAAACATTTGGGGTAAGGGATACTCAAAGTATACAGAATGGCAAGACCTTCTGGCAGGTAAAAATTGCAGATTCTTCCTAAGAGCTTCTGAAATCTGTATTTAGAAGGAGAACATGGTGACCAAGTTAAAAAAAAATCTGTGTGTAGAATTCAAGAGTTCTATTAGACTTGTCTAACTGTGACTACAAAATCAAGTACTCAGGTGAATGCATGACTCAAGGCCAATGTCCTGGTAATTTAGGCAGAAGCTCTTTCTAGAGCCATCTTTACCTGGGATCAACATATGTTCCCTAAAGAAAGTTAAGATCATAAATTAGTTCCTTTCAAACTTTAAAAAAAAAAAAAACTCCTATGTGTTCAAATAGGTTATCTTTTGAGAGATCATCCAGAATCTATGTACGCAAAATATTTCTCTCATGCGTCAAAACAAGTTTTCTGCCATAAACAAAGATAAATGTGAGTCTTCAGTAGGAAAATGGATGCACCTAGAAAACATAATATTAGAAAACGAAATCAGACACAGCTTAAACACTTCACGGTTTCTCTTACATGAGAAGCCCAAGGTATAAGTGACACAAAGAGCAAAATAAAAGATGCATAATAGGACCAAGGAGTTAGATCTTTTGTAAATGGGAAAGATGGAGGGTGGGGATGAGAGGGAAAGGGGAAGTAAAAAAAATTAAGATGCATTCGTACATGTACCAACTCCCCATAAAGAATGTAAGCACTATGTACTGTGAGCATGTACAAGTAAAAAAAAAAAAGACCAAAAATCAATAATAATTCCATTGCTGTGTAAGAAAAAATACAACAGTTTTCAAAAGGTTTAACTCCCAATAATTCCATTAAAAGAGATCAAGGAACTTGGGAAAGGGAGTTAGTAAGACAGGAAGGTTATTCCAATCTTGACAAATATGACAAGCTTTCTTTACAGAGTTTATCATTAAGTCATTAACCCAAAACATGGCCAAAATTCCAACAGCCCAGAGATATCCACTGCAAAGGAGGATGAGAACCAGCCTTTCCCAGGTCCTTGAATGCCTGGTTCTAGAGCTGGCTTAACCTACCACTGTCTGATGTACTAGTGTCATAGTTAGATAACTATGAAACTTCCACAATGGCTTCAGGCTGACTTTGGAGCTCTAGAAATACAAGTATTGATGACCTGAAAGTTCCCGTGCCCAGTTAGGCTACTCCCCTGCCCCACTATATTATGAGCATATAAGAGAAAAGCAGAAAGATCTGTGAAAAATCCTTACCTGTAGCTGCTGGTCTAATTCTGGAAAGACCAAAGGAATGGAGTCTTCAGGAGGTGTATCATCTAAAATGTGAAAATAAAATGATTCTTCACTAGAGAGACCTCTGTCTCATCAGAGTCACCCTGGTGGACCAGCCTCATACCTATGTTGACAAACTATCTGCGCATGTAGGTTTTCATTGTTTTCATTACTTCAATTGGAGACAGACAGGATGTAAAAGACAGTCTTGTTCATTAGTTGTGCACACAGATGCATGAGAATTTAGCTGGCCTGACCAGAATTTTTCAAAGAAAAAAAAAAACTTGGAATTCTCAAATGTCCAGTCCGGTAGCTCTCCAATGAAGAAGGGCTACTTGTCTTTCAATACAGCCACATTAGCCAAAACCAAAAAAATATGATATGCAAGAAAGTGCTTTAACAAGGTGCTAATGAGGTGGCCAGAATAATCTCAATAGCCCAGAAGAACATGTTAGTGAAAAATAGAAGCATTAGTTCTGCTCTGAAAGATATCACAGGCTTTGATGATTTCATCCTCTGTTTTTACCACAAACTATCACTAACAGGCAGTTCATCAGGAGCCCCTTCTGGGGTACAGTGGGTAACAGGCAGCAATCCAGATCTCTCAAGGAATGGATCACTAACAGCCCTAGTGGCCAGAACCTACATCTCTCTAATCCAATGCAGGCTCTGAAGGGCCATTTGTTTCTGATCTCTACCATGGTACATGACTCTGAGAATACAACAAAGAACACACTCAAAGAATAAGTTTAAAACCAAAGAAGCCACTTTTCAATTATAATAAAGCAAGGAGAGCTAGTGGTTTCTCACTAGCATAATCATATTTAAATATCAAATGACAGGTTATTTTTGAACTAAATGAAGTGACACACACTATGTGCAATACACAAGAGCAGTCATGCTTTTGTGTCCATGGGGGAGTGGTTCCAGGACCCCCCAGGACCCCAAAGTGCAAGAATGCTTGAGTCTCATATAAAATGGAGAAATCTTTATATATATAATTATTTACCTAGCAATTACATTGTATTAAGTATTAGGAGTAATCTAGACATGATTTCAAGTCTACAGAGGGATATACTCACACACACACACACACACACACACACACACACACACATCCCTCTATAGACTTGAAATCATGTCTAGATTACTCCTAATACTTAATACAATGTAATTGCTAAGTAAATAATTGTTGGATGGTATCATTTAAGCAATAATGCCAAGGAAAACACTGTGTACATTTTCAGTACAGACACAGGAGCTTGTTTTTTGTTTTTACGTTTTCAAGTGTTTTCATGCCTCAATTAGTTGAATTCTCAGATGCAGATCTTATAAATACAGAGAGGCAACCACATTCTTTCCTACTCACTAATAGGACAATTCAAAATAAAACAGAGTACACAAGCACTCGGGTTCTAAGGGCTTATATCTCTTTGAAACCAGAAAGATCATTTAAACAAGGACAGTGTTAACTTCTGCCAAACGTCTTAAGGGTCTTGTCACTTAATAGCATTTGGTATATGTTAGTGAAAGTAGTTTAATAATACTCCCATTTAAAAGTGGTTTAAGTATGGGAGAAAAATGAGAACCAAGATCTGTCATGTAAAGGTACAAGATCCCAATGATAAAGGTTGCTGTACTGTATACTTAGAAAGTACCAATAAACTCAATGGAAAAAATAAAATAAAAGTGGTTTAAAACAAGGACAACATGTCACCAAATTTGAACCCTTTTTGTACTTGAATCTGTTCCAGTCAATGGACGCCCACTGATTCCTGGTGTTATGTGACATCAGTTTCACAGAAGGCTTGATCCCCGGGCCCTGTGAATGCTCTCTTCTTGCCTGGATTAGAAGTGACAAATTCTAATCGCTGCGGCCTTTTAAATTCACTCCATCATTTGCAAAATACTGGACAAAAGCAGGAATATTCACTGTGGCTTCAGGCTCAGTATAGGGATAGCCTTCATTATAAAATCCATGCTTTGTAAAATTAGATTTGGGTCTCAGGTACATTTAATTTTCTCCAGTACAATTTCCAACACTTAGACATCATGATTATCTTAGCTCCTTGGCTCCATGGCCAGGAAGATTTGGCACAGGTAAATGGGAACATATTATATGTCGGCATCTCATCCCTAATAATTATAGGCAAGCAGGCATTTGCTGCAAGGAGAGACTGCTCTGTTAGGCACAAGCACAGACAGGGCATTCCGGAATCCTAGAAGATACCCACGAATGGAACTCGGTGCTTCCTGAGACTTAATCCATCTTGTACTCTGTGAAGTCACACTCTTCCTGCTTAATTTTAAAAGGGGGCAGGGATTTATCCATTTGATTTACTATATTAATGGAAATAACAAATATCTGGTCTGATCCAGAATCAGAACGGTTCTGGATGGAAATCTACTCATTAGTTTTAGTCATACTATGCTGAAGAACATGATATGTGACCACAATGATTATGCTGTAAATAAATAAAAATTTAAGATTGGATTTCCTGAAACGAAATAAAAATCTCATTGACTGACATGAAAATAAACAGATAGTATATGTTTTAGGGAATGCAAACCGAAAGTAAGACTTTTGTTAAAGAACAGCTCCAGCTGGATTAACCCAAGCAGGAAATGGCAGCGGAAGCGAGAAAAGCAAAGACAGATGTAAGGAGACGACCAAGTCTGGAGCCAGCCCTACATTTCACTGCTCAGTGCCATCTGGTTTGGCTGGCATCACTGTCTGCCAGAAATTTCAGGGCTTATGAAGCTGCTTACAAAGCTACAAGTTGATGTGTGGGGTGTTTACTTCCAACAGTGGCTGCCTTCTTTGACTGGCTTTAAAAATAGGTAAATATTCTAAAAGCAGGATGATGAATCACAGGATTGGGCCAAAAGGAAAGAAGGAAAATGACTCAGGCAGACTAGTAGCACAGCTGTCCCACAAACATTTGGCCAAATTATTGTAAAACATTTTGACAGTGATACTGGATTAGAGTTTCTGAGAGCAGTTAAGTTTGTTTTGACAATTCCGGAAACACAGTCGACTGTACAGTAGCCATACCAAGAGCTCTCTCCCCAGTCCCCAGTATATTTAGTTTTCCTTAAAGAGAGAGAGAGAGAGAAACAGTTGCCCAATGTATTTATAATAGGAAAAGATCACAGCACAAGTCTGTGTTTTATTAAAATTTATCTACCAAATACTGAGTTCCAAGTGCAAAGCAGAGACTGAGACTGTGCTAAAGTGGTAGTTATCTTATCATACTGTTAATGCATTAAGGAAATAATTTGAAACTTCTTTTCTAAAAGGGTACTATGAGTTTAACAGACCGAGCATAATGCAGCCTAAGGAATTTCTTGAAGGATAAAATATAAAGGAAAGAATTACAGAGGATTGTCTTCAATAAGCAGATGTTCACTGTCTTTTTGGCAGACACAGTGTGACTAAGCCAATGGTCCTTAAGATAGAACTTTCCTGTTGGTGTCCCAGCCATTATGACATACCATAGTACATTTTATGAAGGGTTGGTCTCACCATCTACCAAACAGCTGTTGGGTTGCTTTCGCGGTTGTTCTGTTTTCAGATTCCCTGAAACCGCCTGCTCTGTCTTTCTCATGAATAAATGGGACACATTGGATCTGTAATCCAAATCCCCACTGTTTTCTGGCAGTCAGTGATTGCAATCAAGTTCACTGGAGAATATGCTGATGCTTAAAGGAGCTAAACAATCATCTGGCCCGGTCCCCTCAAAGTAGAGCTAGGTACAGCTCAAGGGAAAAGAGACACTGAGACTTTATGACTAGTGACCATGTGAGACTAAGGGGTAATTTCCAGCCCTGGACTCTTTCTACCATGCCTCTCTTCTCTTTAACTTCTGGCCACGGATTCCCAAACTTGTACTTCATGAACCAGTATAAATTTTTCCAAAATAATGGGAGTCATACGCTAGACTCCAGCATCCAACTTTTATTTAACTGGTGGAGATGACTCAAAAACAATTCCCATATATTATTACTACCTCTTCACGGCAGAGAAAGGACATTTAACAACAAAACCATAAGAACCTTAGGATAAAGTAGTATCCATTATACTGGATAACTACAGCTTTATAGACAAAAGCAGACACATTCCAAAATGACTTCATTGTTGTTAGATTCTTGTTACTTTGTGGATGAGAGAGATACAAATTTCATTAAAGCCAGACTAGGTCTGGGTGTTTAGAATGATTGTTCTCAACAATCTCTTGATTGGGCAATATCTTGCTTAGACTTTGGGATCAATTATCTCCTAGAATTACATGGGGAGGAAGCTGGTAAATCCTAAATCCTGCAGGAAGAGTTTAGATTTCCACATTGAGGAAGGGACCTCAGGCCTCAGGCAATTGAGAAGCCACCCTCAGAGAACAGCTCCAAATGCACCCTATTCCCAACAGGAACATAAGCCACAAGCCTACCTGGGATCCCTGGACTATACCTCTCTCTCCTGCAGTCAGAGCAGACTTGTGTACATGACCTGTGTGGTCATACAGAGCCCTTCACTCTGATGGGCCCACGCTTGCTTTAACACTCCACTACAGGGTCAACTATTTTCTTAATAGTTGCTGAACAAGGATCTATGCATTGTCATGTGGTGCCATACAGTACACTACTAAGTATAGAGCTGGTCCTTCCTCCCCACAAAAGGACCTCTGGGGGGAAGGGCTGTGGAGTGGGGCCTGCAAGGCACAGAGAACTAACCGAAGTAAGTCTGGCAGGGCCCTTGGTGTCAAGGCTCATGCGGCAACTTTCCTGGAAACTGTTTGCCCATGAAAACTCCTGACCCTGAATATAGCCAATCTGTATAATGTTCAGTAGGATGGCTAGGCATATGAATTTGAGGATGGCTACTTTTTCATTGGTGAATGTGAATAACTGATGTAATTTCTTTGAGACTTAATTTTCTCCTCTGAAAAATGGGCAGATGATTCAACCTCTCTCAGAAACCCGTTACTGTTCAAGAAATACACATGTCAGTCACTTAATCTAAAGCCTGGCATCTAGGAAATAACCAATA